AAACTGTTCCAAGCATTAAATTTGTTGATGATAACATCATCTTTGCCTTAATATCTGAAGGAGAAACCTTATACCACCACTTAGTTAAAAGCTTTTTTAGTTGTTGCTATTAAAATTTTCTTCAGTTGAATGTCTTAACAACAAAAAAAAGAAATAGTTGTCAATTTCAGGATGGAGAATCGCCCTATTGCAGATCTTACAATAAAAAAAAATCACAGTATAGAGCAAATAGAGACATTAATAATGAGTTTACAGGATGAACATGGGCAAATCCTGTATACATAAATTCAACTGAAGACTTTTGCATCGTAAATAAGTGTACAATTTTAGCATAAAAAAAGTTTTTAACTTATTGTACAATGCAACAATTGAAAGCCTACTGAACTTCAGAATTACCTGCTGGTGTAGGCATTGATCATATGAGATCAAACACTGTTTAAATAGACTAAGCAAGAAAGCTAATAATATCACACAAACTTATCATTCTTCACTTGAAGAACTATTTAAAGAAAAATTACTGGTACAACTAAAACAATATGTGGATGATACATCCCAACCTCTTTATCACAGACAGATCAATCAGGTCTAAATCTTTCTTTTAAAATTATTACCAAAAGTTATAAATAATCTTTTGTTTACCATTCTGTACGATTTTACCAGCATGCTCCTAAAGTGGTTAAAAAATCTAAATGATCATTGATTAATTCAATATTTAAGCGAGTTCATTGATAACTGATTTCTGCGCTAAAGAGATACTTTAGATGTCTTGTGTTTAAATTGTAACATGTTGTCTTGGTTAAAATATGTATTTATGTATGTGCTGAAAATGAATATGTACAATGTAATAAAAAAACATTTCTATTTATTTGGATCAATAAAAGAATCTTCTCTTACTTACCTAAACTATAAAAATCAATTGGCGACTTACCTTTTCTTCCTGTGGATATTTCATATTGTCACCTAGATTTTGTTGCATGAATGAAAGAAATTAAATATTGTTTATTCCCCTTGACAACTTACACTTAGAGGTCAACTTTGTTAGTTCTCTATATCTATAATTCCATTCAACTTCATGATAATGTTCATTGGCTGCTGCAGCTAACACTAACATTATGTACTTTTATATTGGCAAAGTTTACACGTTTTTTACTTATTGATGAATCTAACAATCTGTACTTTTTTCAAAACTCAGCTTCAGAAGTTAAAATCCACCTATGTGGATGGCATTAAAACATGTGTTGTTAATGGCTCACTCAAGACTCACTGGGATCAAACTGCTGCAGCTACTGGCCGACTAACATCTTCACAGCCCAACATTCAGGCGGTTCCAAAGATTGTTATACCAATTAATGACTATAAGATCAACTATGTTATTGGTAAGAATACTCATTAGATTAAATGGTCAACAAATAATTTACAGCTAAACCGATGATAGAATCTCAAGAAAAAAAGTTACAATCATCTGACAACTGTAACCGATTCTCTTTGTTACAATTTTTTTTTAATATACCTATCAGGATCTGATGTCACCTTCAATGCTGAAATCTTTGCCAGGGAACCTTTTATAAGTAATGATGACCACATGTTTTTAGCAGCAGGTAATTATATTTGATTGCAATAAAAAAGCCTAATTTTTTAAACCGTAATGGCCTTTATTTGTGATGTATGTTTTTCTATTGAAAAAAAGGATAATATAATTTTATTCTAGGGTACTAAACAGATGTTTTCAGATCATTTTAATAAAATTCATCAGATTTCCAACAAATTGAACTTCGACTGCTGGCCCATCTATCGGCTGACACTGTTCTTTTGGCGATGTTTTGGCAGAAAACTAACGAAGATATTTTTATTTCTCTTGCATCACAGTGGTAAGGTGTAGACTTTCTTTATACGGTAATTAAAAAAATCTAAGAAATTTATAGTAATTGATAGGGACTAGATGTATAAATGAGTCTTTGAATTTTAACAGAACGCCCTGTTTGTTTCTGGCTGGAACATACTGTCACAAAGCAGCTGTCCGAAAAAGAAAGTCAGCATGCCCAGATTTTAAAAAAAAAAAGCATTTAAATTTTTAAATGCTTTCACTCCAAAGCCCTCAAACTTTTATAAATATTATACAAACACATTCAATACAACACAGCAGCTTATCCATGACCTTAAAAAATAGCTCTCAGTATTATCAGGCTTATTCTTGACATCAGAGACAGCAGATGACCCCAGAGCCTGCATGACACAAGTCAAAAATTTTTTTCTCCAGTCACTTTCTTTTTAGTTTAGCACTGTACATAATAATTACAAATGTTCACTATGACAGCTTCATGAAATCATGAAACCAGATCAGTCACATACTTCTCAAAACATCTCAATATACCAGTAACTGGCAGTATTGAGTTGTATTTTAACTTAGTGAACCATTAAATTTAAACTATATTCCATTCCCCAGGTTTAAGAAGTCAGTAGAGTCAGTGATCCCCGCTGAACGGGAGCAAATAAAGAGGGTTGTATACTCGGTTATCTATGGCATTGGTAAGAAATGGTTTTTGTAGCAAAACACAACAGGTCTTTAATGAGAACAATTTGTAAATTAGTGTGTTCAGGGTTTAGACATGTTTTTATATTAAATATTTCACAAATGCCTATATTTATGAATTGCATTTTAAATTTTATTAATAAGATTCTTTATCATGCAGGTAAGGAAAAATTGTCTGATTACCTAAAGGTGAAGCCTAGTGTGGCAAAAGATATAATGAACAGTTTCCTTTGTAAGTTGTTTCACACATTTATTAATTAAAAACTACATGAAAAAATGTTGTTTTATGTATACATTTTCAAATCTATCCTCTTCTTCCGTCCACTTCTACTGGAAAGGCATCATGGCAAGGCGGAGTTGGTGATCTGCTGCAAGAGTTTGAGGCCCGCTAAAGATTATTCTGGTTTTTTAGGATGTCCTAAACACAGGCAAACCACCGATGGTGTGCTCTTCCTCTGTTTCTGAAACTGGAGCGCTTGCTATTGAATGCTTGCAGTGCATGTTGGCTGACAGGCATTCTAACCAGGTGGCTTAACCAATTAATTTGCTCTTGTGACATATACTGATATACTGGCTAAATGGTATGGCACCAACCACTTGTTACATTTCCTGGTTCCATTTCTAATCAATTTTTTTTTAATTTGTTAGTAATTTTATGAGCTGTATAAAGTTGGTACAATTTTTCTACATTAAATATAAATGTATTTGTATTAAATTTTCATTTGCAAACTTTCATTATGTGCACATTGTATTGCATCCAGGTACCCATATTAAGAAACTGTTGTGCCTTTGAGCATGCAACACCTATTTTTATCTGGTTATTCCCAGTGCAATTTCCAGCCATTGATGCCTTCATTAAAAAATGTTGGGATTACGCTAAAGAGTTTGGATACACAGAAACTGTGTGTGGCAGAAGACGCTACTTCCCAAACATTCACAGCCAGTCCCCAAATCTGAGAGCGCAAGCCCAGCGACAGGCTGTTAACTTTTGTGTTCAAGGTTCTGTTTATAAATTTATCTGTACCCAATCAGTTGTAAGTTCTGACATATATAAAATCTCATTTGTGTTCTATTCAGAACAAGCTTTCGGAAATATCTTAAATTCTTTTTGTTCTAAGTTAAATAGTTTTTAATTGAAAAGTGGAACCTCTTCTCTGAAAGGCCTTAGGTGTGCGCGAGTCAAAAAGTTGGGAGCTGTGCTACTTCTTTATATCAATCTTAGAAATCAAAATGGACAAATATTTCTGTCACTAGTGTAATAGAAGAAAGAAACTGTTATTTCCTCTGTCTCCAGGTTCAGCAGCTGATATTTGTAAGCTTGCAATGTTAGCTGTAGAGGAAAAGCTACAGAAATATAAGCATATTAACTGCAGGTAAAGAATGTTATGAACCAGGATTGTTTGAGCTTTTAGTCAAGAGATGTTTAGATATTTGTAATTTAGCAAAGAGCTATTAGTTTTATCAATTGTTTAACTTTTTGTTTTTTACATTATAATAACATAAATACATATTTTTGTCACTGAATCAATCTTTTTTAAGGCTTCTTTTACAAATTCATGATGAGCTTGTGTGGGAAGTACCAGAGACTCAGTTAATAGAAACCAAAGGTATTGGAGTAGAACTGTTATTATATAATAATATAATATACGTTTTTTTTTAAAACCTTAAGTTAATTTAATATTAATTACCGTACTTTAATTTTCAAGTACCCCTATACAACATGAATTACTGGATGAGAGCATATGCTTTTGAAAGACATGTTGCTAGGGTACACAGGTTTGTTTTGATATCTATTAATAAGCATTTAAGTAAGTATAAAAAGGTTTATGAGGGCATTTTAATTAAATATAAATAATATTATCTCACCTAACATTCTTTTTCAAATTAAAAAAAAAAATTGAATGCTGTTAAAGGACTAAGTTACAGTTCTAGTGTGCCATAATATGTAAACGTTTTAAATCCACTGTATTAGTAAATACTTTTATTTGGTTAACTATATGCATCAAGAGTTTAACATTTCCTTAGTTTGAATTTGATTTTCTAATTAGGTGTGCCCTATCACAAACTTTAATTGAACAAATAAAGGTATAATAATTTATATTTTACAATTCAAAATATTACAATTAGTACACAATTTTTGTTTGCACATTTTAGATCTCATTCAGCAATTAATGGAGTATACTAAAGGTCTTTGCAGCCAATTCTGCATGATACAAGTCCCTCTAACAGTTACATTCAGCAGTGGCAAATCATGGGCTCACTTGGTTCCATTTAGTGCTGAGTAATAACTGCATTAAAAAAAAAAATTAAAAGATGTTTGCTAATGTGATCCATTTCCAGACCAGGTTAGGTGTATAATGCAGCATTATGCTTGTTTTTACATACTATAGTGAATAGTTATCACACACACACACACAAATATTGTATGTTAATAGTCAAATAAATTTTTTAACAAAAATAAATAAATGTTTTGATAAGTTTTTTTAATTATTTTATTTTATTTATAAGTTTTTGTAGTTGTAGAGATAGGTTCAAAAGGCCAAAACCTTTCCACCAGATCACAATGGTAACAACAAGGCATTTTACATCAAGGACATTGTAAACATTTTATCAGCACAAATAGGTAAAACCCATACCTTTCTGAGTTTTAGACTCTAGAAGAATTATTTCTCTCTTCTATCATTTCTTGAAAATTCTTGATGCTTGGAAATTTAATGTTTTGAGTGAGTCTGTGGATATGTGAAAAATTAGTTGGGACATGCCTTTCCCTACTGAATAAATTACGACATTAATGCATTGCAATGAATACATAGGATAGTAAAAATATTACAGTGACACTTTTCATAGACAACACAACTGCTATACTGAAAAAATGTTCTGAGCGTAGGTAATTATTTTTTAATTATAAATATTTCTAGATTAAAAATTAAAAGACCTTTCATTTGCAATACCAGTTAGCATGCCAAAACTCAATGTAAATGAGAGTATTTAAAAAAATTTAGCATTTAACATCAAGCAATTCAAACAATTCCAGGATTTTGTTTACAAAACAGCAATTTGAAAATAAGGCTAAATCACAAAAAGTATAACAAATTCACAAGAGGTCCCCAAACCTTTTTGAATAATTTGGCTGCTATCCAAGGTTATTGATATTACAATTCATCTATAAGAATACTTTCAGTAACCTAATTTGTAACTGTTGATAGTTGCCATATTCAACTACCAGTATTGGAAGTCACCATAAAGATTATGTACTTCTGCTTTACATTAAACTTAATGTCATTAAATGTAATGAATTATTTCATATCAATAAATCTTGGCTAAAAGGTTGATAATTTTATGGAAAGGATGGCAGTGCTATCAGACAATATATTAATAAGGTGGTTGGTTGATAGCATTAAGCAAATACATTTCATTTAAAACAAAAATATCTAAAAAAAAATATTTAGACCATCTTCTCATATTGATAGGTTAATTGATGTGGAGACACTTGTACAATCGATAAACAGTTCTTTGACAGTCCAGCAATTATAAATAAACATTTATTCCAATAAATAAGCTCCATAAATAGGTCCCCAAAAAGCACAAGAGACATAAATATATCAGGCAGATCTTCAATTTGAGAGTTCTGAGACATTAAACTTCTTTGCCTAAGAGGAAAAAATGTTGCATTTTCAGGCTTGTAGATATTTAATTCTTTTCAATTTAGATGCTGTCTTGCTAACGTTGTTCTCAGATTGTACTGAAATCAAATGAAATGAGTACAAGTTTTTAATGTGTGGAAACACCTGTGATCATTTACAGTTATAGCTTGTTCTTATAGACTCATTAGAAAGTTTTAAGACATCTATACAAAAAATTGAAGAACAAAATGAGAGAATATCAGTAATATCACATTTAGCATTTTAACAATGAAAATTCATTATTGGCATTGCTTTAAGATTAATCTTAAAATATAAACTACTCATAGTCCAATCAGCAGATGTATAAAAGAGGTAAATGTTGATTCAGCTGGATAATGCTGGTTAAGCATTATTAGTTGAAATTGACATGCATAAATGATATAATGAACATGTAGGCAAAACAATTACTAATACAATTTCTGGAAGTGATGGAATATAATATTTGACGATTTGTTTGGCAGTGAATAAATCTTAAGCGTGCATTCCAGATTGCAAACTTCTGTCATACTACAGTGACAGCATTATGAAATAACTTAATTTCATTTTGTTTTAAGTATACTGCTATGTACCATACTATATATAAAATAGCAACCAGTTATGGATGGTTTTGTACATTTAAGCATCTGGATCTTTGATACGTTGTTATTATCATTCCCAACTGGTGTCCAAAAAGAAGCTATTACGCATTTAGACTATTCATAGCAGCGATCGCCAACCTTTCAGACCTCACTGACTACTAAATTCATTATTTTAAATCCCCTTTAAAACTAATGATTTTTTTTTAAAGACAAATACATTTGTAAAATAATGATCAGAGAACTTCAATTTTATTCATATGAAATGCGCCTATTTAAATCTAAGATAACAAAATTTTAAATGCTTATTTATTCATAGCGACATTTTTTAAGGTTGTCTAATGATAACAAAATGATTGAAGTTAGTTTATTATTAAAAAATAACTTAAACCTTTTTCTAGTATTACACATTTACAGTGTGATATTTGTTCCTGCTTGTTTGAAAGAAATTTGTGGATTTTTGGCTTTAATGACGTCACTGCAAGACCGAGAGATATATTTATTTCAAGCCATGACCGTTACTGAGTTTTAATTGCTATGACAGATGAAAATGTATTTTAGCTCAAATATGTTGAAAACTGAATGAAAATATTCATTGTCTTTTCACTCTGCACAAATTTTTATGAAGAGACAAAAATGAGGTCTTGATAAGGTTGACTGTAGCATTGAGACTATTTCCAGATGTTATTTTGAGTCTTTTTTTAAATTAATGCTTAAATTCTTTTCTTCAATGTTTGATACAAAATATTATACACATATTAACATTTCTGAGATCTTCTTTCTTTGTATTATTTTTAATAACGACCAAAATATTCTGTGAGTGATAGTAAGTGCCGTTGAACAATGGTTGCCACCTGCTGGTTGACATCCCTTTCTCTCATATATTCATCAAAATTTGAAAACATTTGCAGATCCTTTAAGCCAACCGCATTTACCTCATTAATAGTTTTGTTTAAAAAATATCCATTTTACCACTTCCTGTGAAGTATTCCTAAGTTGTCCTTGCAAGGATAGATTTAGTTCATTTAACAGCTTTGATTTCAAACAATCTGTTTAATGGTTCTTGTATTTGAACAAAATGACAGAATTTTACTTAAAAAATCCTTGGACTTATGAAATAAGTTGATTTTGTTATAAAAATTCACTATGACACAAAAAAAAAAAAGCTTTTCTGTTTGCATTGAATTTACTGCTTAAAAATAAGAGTTTACCATAATATCTTTCAAAAGTTGTCATTCTGAATATAAGAATTTCTTGGAATCTTTTTTAAAATTATTATTAAAACATAAAAGTTGCTAGTTATGTGTATATTTTTCAGCGGACCATCAAAATTTTCTCTCTGACCACTGGTTGGTGACTGCTGATTTATAGCACTATAAATGTTCTTTTTATAATATACAAATTGTTATTCACTTTGCTATTGCTAAGACAACTTTCAGTAATTTACTAAGAATTTCCTAGCATGAGTAAATTATTTAAAATGTTCCTTGGCCTTTAGATCACTGTCCTCCAGACTGAGGTTCAACACCTGCAGTAAGGGTGCATGAAATAGTATTTTTTTAAAAGAGCGAGAATTTATATAATACTGTAAACCCTCTTTGTGAGAAGAAATATTAAAAATAAAGGTAGTAAAATATGGTTAGCAAAAAAAATTTATATATTAGACTATGGAAGCACTGCAGCCAAAGAATTATTTGAAATGACTCATCAAAATAACACAACTGCTTGTAGCAAAGAACATATTCATGTTAGCTAATTGAAAAACCTAACTTTAACTCTTTTAACTGTCATAATGTTAAACCTTGCCATATGCCTTTGACATGTTATTTTAAGAACAGAAAACAACAAGCTATTGTTATATCCTACAGATGACTCTTGTGAAAGTTGCCATCTAAAATGATCATCATAATAGCACTTTCTCACATTGCCTTCACACATGAAATGAAGAGATAATGTCTAAACACAAGTTTCTGGTGTGAACCCTACCCGCACATTTTTCACTCGCCTAACCAGCATGCCTAAGTCAGAGATGCAAGATACTTTGCTGGAATTATGAGTGGGTAGAAGCTTGGTCACAGGAGATAATTTTTCTAAAGTCGTCGTCATACGATGTAAGGTCAGGTGACTGGAATCATATCCATTATGTGGTGACGACCTGAGGATGACACTTATTTCTCCCGATGATGAGCTTGACTGCTCCTCTGTTTCTGGAGAGCTACCTGCTTCCCCATTTGGAGACGGCATCATATGATTGATATACTTACTGTGATTCCAACAGATTGCATGAAAAAAAGGGTAAAAAATATTTCACTTTTTGGTAGGTCACAAGTATTACAATTTTACATAACATTTTTTCAGACTGAAACAGAGCAAGATGATGAGAGCAAAAAATATGCTGGCCACCCAAAAGTTTTATTTTGGACATTTAATAAGCATCTTTAAGCTAACAAGCAACTTTGCTTTAAAAAAATAAAATCATTGAAGGATGAAAATAAAAATCGCTAATAATTTTACAATTTTAAAACTGGCTTTTGTAACCTTCCATGTCTATTTTCTTTTGTAACTAGTTACTTTTTGGTTTATTCTTGCCAATAAATGACAACTTTATAAAAAAAAAATAATAGCTATGCGAAAAGATTTTTTTTCCAAAAATGAAAATATAATGGAAATGGTCACAAAAATTTAAATGTTGCATCATGCTGAACAACCACATGCCAGTTAAAATCTTAACAATGAATTTATTTTTTATTTAAATAATGTTTCTACATTTCTAATTTTATCCCTGAAAGTTGAAATTTACACAATTTCATTCCTTTATGGAATTTTGAAAGTACAAGTATATACAACTTGAAGAAAAAAGTGAACATAAATTGGTTGCAAAGTGAAAAATTAAAAAAAACAATTTTTGTAAATTAACAAAATGTATTAATCTTGATCTGGCAATCATAATCCTTTAAAGTTCTTGATGTTAATAAAAATACATATAATTATCTTAGATGTTTACAAGAAAACACTTATCTGGGTTTTATCCTATGCCACTTATTAACCAGAGATTTCTTTTTATCAAACACAAAATAACTGTATGAATTCAGTTCACAAATATTTATAAGATAAATTCATAAGAAAAAAATTCTTTGTTTAGGGATTTTTCACAAAAATGGAAAAATTGATAGCTATATATAGAGTTTTCTTTTGCCAAGTTGCATAAATTATAGTAGGAGTAGAATTAAAATGATAAGAAGTCAATAGATTTCATTGCTGGCCAGAAAAGTCTAATAATTACCTCAAATACAATTTAATTAAATCAGGGCTACATGTCATTTCAAAGAGGAAAAAATATGTATATTCTCACAAATATAATTTTCTAGCATGCTCAAGAACGCAATGAAGCTTCAAATTTGTAAAAAAAAAAAAAAATTTAAGAGCTTGGAAAACATAGGAAAAAAACGGTAATAGCAGGTAAAAACAAATTACAAGAAATACTGACTAATACTACCAATTATAATCTCATCTGTCCTTCACCTCAGTCTTCAATAGAACCTAACAGTTTTGATTTAATCATGCTCTATATATAATGAGATAATTAAGATATATATAAAAAAATAACTACACAGAACAAGTCAAGCATCTAAGCTAATAATATTGATATCAAGTTATATTATGGGTTCCAGACACAAAGAACTTGCTGATGTAAGTTTCAATGAATCTACTTTTAAATGTTTGATTTTATTTTTTTTAAAAATATTTTTGATATGTATATAAAATATAATGGAATAAAGCATTTACAGAAAATAATATCAGTTTTAATTAGACTGTCTCAATAGAAGCATTGGTCACATTTTGTTGTTCGTTATTTACATACCAATTTTTATTTAGATTTTTTTTTTAACTTATGTAGATACAATGTGAATTCAAGTATCAAAACTTTTAAAATTAGTATCAAAACTAAGATACTTATAAATATTATTTAATAGTAATTTTTAAAAAGTAATATTTATTTTGCTTTTGAGTTAAAATTGTTGAAGCTTTCATATTCTATTTTACAGCTGTTACGATTTCGGAGTTGTTTACTTAATTAAATGGGTTGTAATTATAAAATATAATATTTATAAATATAAAAACAACGATGGGTAAGAGCAGATGACGAGCAGATAATATCACAGCAATAGTTTACAACAAATCAGGGTGACATGTTCCTCAGGAATTCTTACTTGTCACTTGTTCCATATAATTGATGTTCTCTTATATAATCAATGACAGAATCTTGCAACAAATACTTGACACTTTCACCACGCCGCAGTGCTCTTCTGTTAAAGGTAAATTCATTCAACTTTCATCAAGCTATTGTTATCAAAGGAAATAGTGGAACAAGGTATGTGTAAATTGCAAATATAAAGACAGGACAAAAAAAGAGAACGTTTCAGCTAAGAGCCTTCCTTAGCAGACAGGACTTATGAAGAAACAACAAGAAATAGTAAGTACTTCAAAACTTAAGTGTTTGGAGTTCGCCATTAATGTTATACCCGGAATTTAGGTTTTCCAAAACCAAGATAACAGGAATTTAAAAAATCTATGTATAATAACTATGAAAAATAAGAATTTAACGGACAAAATAATATTTTGGAAATATGTCAAATATAAGAAATAATAAGAGAAATACAGGGAAATTGAAGATCACTAGTATGAGAATATTTGATCGATTCTTTTGATGATATTGTGCGGAAACGTTGAATTAATTTGTTTTCCTTTTTAACTCTCGCTGGTGTGTTATTGCAGGAAATCATTGTTATAAAAGGACAATGTTAGTTTGTTTTTATTTTTTCATTTCATTTAGGAATAAAATTAAATTTAAACGTTAAAATCACAATATAAAAAGGTATTTTAAAAACGGGTTTCATTTTGCACAATTTTTATAACTGCACAAGAGCAAACCAAAAAATAGAATGTAAATAAATACAGAAAAGAGTTTATATTCTCAAATACATCTATATACTTGTAATTATTTTACAAATCCACTTAAATTTTTGTGTGTTGCTACACTATTCTAACAAATTAGAATTTAAAATTTTAAAATTGTCAGGTCCCATTTTCAATGTCCACTTTAATCTGGAACTTCCAGGCAGCCCTGTGGTGCGTTAGAAACCAAGAGATTGAAGTTTTAAATTCATCTGATTTTGTCTCCAGCTATGGGCTTTTGCCAACTGCAATTGAAGTGTCTGCTCAAAATGGGAGCTAGACTTAGGGAGGAGGTAAAAAAAACCTGATGCCACAAAGTCAGGAGACAGCAGTCAACTTGGTCTGGGATTTACAGTTCATTGTTTGGGCTATGATGATGCTCAGAATTAAGATAGGTGTCTATATAAAGAAAAAATTCTGGCACATAAAATGCTTAAAACTTTTGTGAGTTCCTTTGTAAATCAACATCAAGTAAATATTTGTTTTACTACTTGGCAGTTACAATACAGTCATTAATCAGCAAAAGGTTTAAACACTCACCTAATTTTGGTTGAACTGATGTCATTATAAATCCATTCTGTTACAATTATTATATTTTCCTGAAATAATAAACTTTTTTTAATAGAAATTTCATTGAAAGATGAAATCAACTGTTTTATTCATGATTTTCGCTCATGATATTTTCAATTGTGATAGAAGTTTGACAATTTTGGGTATTTAATTTATTTGCATATTGAAATATCAAAACAACTAGAAATTACACGCCAAACAATGGCGGCGGCAATGCCTGAACTTCCAATCTACTAAAGTTACTTGATAAACCATGCATTCAAGTATAAGAATCCCAATGAGTGATTCCTGACTCATTCATGATACTTGTTCCCATACTGTCCACCTGGTGTCTCCCTGCCTCCCAACCTATCATGTCCTCCCTGTACTACCATAAACTCAGCCGATGTCAGCTTAACTACTCCCTTATCTTTTGCACTTTTGTCCGGTACTGATGCCATCATTTCCCTTCTCAGCTCTAGTCATTTATGACACCAAAATATGGGAATTTCATTTTGCACGCCTATTGAATGCAGCGTTACGGCCACACATACATACCTAGAGAATTATTATTTATAATTTTGAAAATAAATACTTATATTTACTGGAAAAATACTTTAAAATTGTTGATAAAATAACAAGGAAAGATGAATGGGATCAATTAGACTTTCAAGTTGAAAGTTTTTTCTGGCTTTGACCTTTCAGTTGTCGACAACAAACAATGGATTGCCAATCATTTAATTTTTCCCTTTAAAAATTCAAAGGGATTCAAAAACAAAAATGTCCATTACTTTAAAATGATTCTCTTTTTGTATGAATTCTTGGACTTTGAATGCACCATAAACTTTGGATATTGCAACACTATACTCAAAAATTAATAGAGAAAAAAATAATTGGCCAATTTATAACACTGCTCACAATTCAAGAAAAGAAAAAACTTCCTCCTCCAACCCGACACAGGGCAAATGCAACAGTGAATGAGTTACATGTTAATATTGTAAATAATGCATAGGATATCTTGAACTTATTTGAACTATTATTGTTGAATTATTATTGTACTTGCTTTATATTTTGTTAATACATCAGATTCATAAATAAACTTGAGTGGATCAGATCCTGATCTTGTGATGACGACCAATCCGTGGACACCAACAATATATTCAATCTGTACAGAGCAAATTAAATACACATTTAGGTATTCAACAGTAGAAAATAAATATTATTTTGTTTTTATCTGACAATTGTCAATAGTGACTAAAATGAATGTTGCTTCCCGCTGTAATCTTAAACACCAATTATATTTGACATTAACTTAAAAACACCAATTACATTTGATATTAACTTATATTTTCCTCTAGCTGTAATCTTTAAACACCAATTATATTTGATATTAACATGTATTTTCCTCTAGCTGTAATCTTTAAACACCAATTATATTTGATATTAACATTTATTTTCCTCTAGCTGTAATCTTCAAACACCAATTATATTTGATATTAACATTTATTTTCCTCTAGCTGTAATCGTTAAACACCAATTATATTTGATATTTACATTTATTTTCCTCTAGCTGTAATCTTTAAACACCAATTATATTTGATATTAACATTTATTTTCCTCCAGCTGTAATCTTCAAACACCAATTATATTTGATATTAACATTTATTTTCCTCTAGCTGTAATCTTTAAACACCAATTATATTTGATATGAACATTTATTTTCCTCTAGCTGTAATCTTTAAACACCAATTATATTTGATATTAACATTTATTTTCCTCTAGCTGTAATCTTTAAACACCAATTATATTTGATATTAACATTTATTTTCCTCTAGCTGTAATCTTTAAACACCAATTATTTGGATATTAACATTTATTTTCCTCTAGCTGTAATCTTTAAACACCAATTATATTTGATATTAACATTTATTTTCCTCTAGCTGTAATCTTTAAACACCAATTATATTTTATATTAACATTTATTTTCCTCTAGCTGTAATCTTCAAACACCAAATACACAACTGATTAACTTACATCTTCCTCCAGCCACAAACCAGGTTGAGCAAAAGACTCCAGCAAGTCTGCACCACACAAAAATTTCACACAAGGAACTTGTTCTCCTTCTACTTCTATGTTGGGGATGTGATTTTGAGCTATATCTGATACTGCAAGTATAAATGGCATAGTTATATGGTCATAAAACATTTGGTATAAAAATATGAAACTGAAAATGCATTAAATTTGGACATTTTATAACATAGATAATAATAATAATAATAAAGTTGATTTCAAAAACACGCTTCATCCCCAAAGGCTCGAAGCGCGGTACAAAGTCAACAAAAAACATATCTATAATTCACCACATTTAAAACAAACGCAACACTACAAAAACTAATTACAAGCATACAATATCAAAGTCTTTCTAGCCATTTCAACCCGGAGCAACACAGCAACACATGGAAAATAAGGTAGACAATCATCCCAGAAGGTATTTGCGAAATAGATGTGTCTTTAGATCGGTTTTAAAGGACTCCAGTGTCTGGTTGTTTCTAAGATCGACAGGAAGGGCGTTCCAAATTGTTGGACCAGCAAATGCGAAAGTGCGCTTTCCGTAAGTCTCAAGGCAAACACGTGGTGTCGAGAGTTTGCCACTATCGGATGAGCGGAGCTCTCTACTGGGTACATAAGGCGTCAGCAGCTCTTTCAGATAGGACGGCGCCAGGTCATGTAAGCAGCGGTAGCACAAAGTTGCGATTTTGTACTCTATGCGAGCACGCACCGGCAGCCAATGCAACTCTCTCAGAAGTGTTTTTGCATGGTCGAATTTGCGTTTGCGGAGAACTATGCGAGCCGCATTATTCTGTGCTATTTGAATTTTATCCAGGAGCGTAGCTGGAAGACCCACCATGAGAGCATTGCAATAGTCCATGCGTGATAGCACAAATGCAGACATCAGCCTCTTTGTTGTATCAATTGTTAGGAAGGGCCTGATTTGACTAATCCTGCGCAGCTCCAGAAAAATAATGCTCATGATTTCAATTTAAGCCAGACATCAATATTAGTCTAATTACAAGCCAAGAGTTTTTAACGATAAAACAATTATCTTTTCGCTTTAATATAAAAGGTAGTAAATTCCTTTAACTCGTTTAAGTTTTTCTTTAATTGGTCATTGATAATGCATCGATAAAAGTTGGTGCTCTTGTTGATCCCTTGTCCAACATGGTTAGAGACCTTGGCTTTTACACTGACAGTAAACATACTATGATTCCTAATATCAGTTCTGTAGTCAGGGCTCATTTCTGTCATCTTTGTGCTCTGGGTTAGCAGCGTCCTCAACTTAATAAGAGAACAGCCAATGCCGTAGCACTCACTCTAATCCAATCAAGATTAGATTACTGTAACAGTTGTTTGTGGTGTTGACCACAAAACATATAAAGAAATCTGACCACATCACCCCAGTTCTTAAAGATCTCCATTGGCTTCCTGTAAGTGAGCGCATTGACTATAAAATTCTGTCCCTGGCGTATTGCTGTATTGAAGGCTCTGCCCCTTTATATCTTCAAAAACTGATTTCTAAAAACGTATCAATACAGAACCTGCGCTCTTCAACACAGTCCTTACTGAGAGTTCCCAGGGTGAACTGACACACTAAGAAGTCATACGGAGTAGGCTCTTTTGAAGCTATTGTGCCTAAATTGTGGAACTGTTTGCCTCAATCTTTGAGGGACATTGAAAATGATCAAAAGTCATTTAAGAACCATTTAAAGACTTTTTCTTTAAATAGATTTTAGGACATCAGAGCGCTGTGAGCATGCTAAAATAGCATGGACACAAGCACTATAAAAGTACTCAATCAATCAATCATCATCAAAAACTCCCAATAATAATGGAGTAGGGAAGGTAACAGAATTAACAAGAATAATCTTATCAAATTAATATTATTGCTTCAAGTTTAATGAATAGTGCTCACTGGCCAATTAAAGACAGTAAATATTGATTCAGTTTTTATGATCCATTTGTTATGTCTTGTAGCATAAAAGGTTCTTTAAAAATCCCTGCAGCACCAATTATTGATTTTGAGGGAAATTTAGGATAATTATGTGTGCAGAAGGGTGTGTTAATCTGCTTTTATGTTGTGAAAAATAGGAACTAATTACCCTCAAATGAACAGAAGATGTCTTTGAAAAATGTCTCTCACAGATTTAATAGAATGTACTCTGATCCTAGAAAATTATGTCCAAGGTTAATGAGTACATTGCTACATAACAGATATGATGATATATGTCTTATTAGCAGGGATGAAATCTAAAAAGGAAATCTTGTACTCAGGTTTAAACCTTATGTTTAAAAATGTGTGTTATGGATTGCAATTATTTGTGTGGATTGGATTTGTGTGTTATGGATTGCAATTGAGATAATAAAATATCAAGAAATTCCTTAAGTTTGAGAAATCTTGTAATAAATAATGTCGTTAAAAAATGGAGAGCGCATTTAGCTTAAATACCAATGTAAAAAAAAATATATTCTTTTTCTCATATAGTTTATGATTTACTTTTAAATGCACTTGGCATCTACTGGGTAAAATCCACTACATTAGTTTAAAGTGCACTTAGAACTCTAAGTGATTTCTTAACCTCATCAAAGTTGAAGCCAGTCCTGAAGAGTTGCCAGATGAACTGCCACATCACAAGTCAAACCAGTGCTCTGTGGGTTCATGGTAATTAATCAATAAATCTATGCAAGGCTGAGCCTGACTCTTTTCATTTTTTATTTGGTGTGTCATTAGCTTGGATTTTATCTGCGCTAACTAGATCAACTAAAAGATACCTAATGATGTCTAATATGTTGATGTGTGTTACAGCTGGGGATGGGAAAATCCAAGTGTCCTTAAAAAATTATCTGTAAATTTACCTCCAACTATCTTAGTTCATTTATCAAACACAATTAATGTTCAAAATCATATTTATATCAATTACTCATTCGCTTTGATTGATTATTTTTGTGGACAAAAATTCTTATTTCTCTTGTGAAACCAATTAGCCTCTATCAATGAGTCATTGAGTGTTACAAAAACGTTCATTGGATTAAGTAATATAAAGAAAATACACCAATAAATTTTATAAACGCTAATTACTACTTTATGATAGATTCCCCTTATTATTATTATTGCTACTTACAGAATTATACATATAGACAGACAATCACAAAGATATTAAATACATACATGTAGATTTAAACAATTAGACTTGGACATATTAATATAGAGGTAATAGTTTTAATGAGATTCATAAATCAACCTGCTGCACTCCTAGCTAACAAAGTGTTCCTAACTCTAGACATGCATGAAAGCGCTGGGATCTACTCAATTGCTGGTATCTCCTCAAGCCCCGTCATGAGTGACCTCCTCATTTCTGCACAGCTCTGACAAGTTGTTAACCCTGAGAAGTTGATGGGCGATTGCAAGGCTATTGATCCTGACATTTTCCCCATTGTTACTGTATGTAAGCCTATGGTTAACTCTGACACTGGGATTCTCACTGGACAAGTTATGACACAGATAGAATTTTCTTCCTTTATTTACTCAGCAGTTTAAAATTTAAACTGTTAGTGTCTTTTTTTTCCTACTGATAAAACTGTCAAACCATAGAACTAGAACAAATTCAAACAAGAAATCTCAACACCTCCCTGCTCATTTTATTCCAACTCAGTGATTACAATTCTGTAGTTCAAACATCTTACAACTCAGTGATTTATATTGTTCAAACGTCTTACAACTCACTAATTACAATGTTAATGCTCACATGCCTTACAACTCAGTGATTAAATTCTGTTTTTCAAATGTGTTACACAGATTCCAAGTAAAATCTGATGACAAAAGGTTTTCAAAAATAAAAGTTAATAACAAAGTTAATAAAACAGAATAATGTGCATAATTTAGCACACTTAAAATATGTGGTACTTCTATGATTAAAGGACACTATGCTAATATCTGGAGAAACCATTCAGCATACACAGTAAGGCTATTTGGATGAGCCTCAATCCTTTTCTCTTGTTTAAGCAAAGACTTTTTTGAGTTTACAATTTTAAGCCTTTTGGAATCACATTAAAATTTTGAGATTTGAGAACTTATGCAATTATTTAGTTTTGCCTACTTTTTGAGTACCTGTATTGTTGTGTAGTTTTTTTCTTCTCTTTGAAGGAGATGGTTTGTGAACATACTGACTTTCAACTTGTTCTTTATAATGGCGTAGAACTTTAGCTGTTGGTGTCCAGGTGGTCAGTGAAGACTCCCATGTGTCAAGTCTGAGGATTGAAGAGGAACATGATTACAATCACAACCAGCATCCAGGAAATAAAAACACCATTGCCCCCACTAATAATAGGGTAAAGCTAAACACCATTGCCCCCACTAATAATAGGGTAAAGCTAAACACCATTGCCCCCACTAATAATAGGGTAAAGCTAAACACCATTGCCCCCACTAATAATAGGGTAAAGCTAAACACCATTGCCCCCACTAATAATAGGGTAAAGCTAAACACCATTGCCCCCACTAATAATAGGGTAAAGCTAAACACCATTGCCCCCACTAATAATAGGGTAAAGCTAAACACCATTGCCCCCACTAATAATAGGGTAAAGCTAAACACCATTGCCCCCACTAATAATAGGGTAAAGCTAAACACCATTGCCCCCACTAATAATAGGGTAAAGCTAAACACCATTGCCCCCACTAATAATAGGGTAAAGCTAAACACCATTGCCCCCACTAATAATAGGGTAAAGCTAAACACCNGCCCTCACTAATAATAGTGTAAAGCATAACACCACAGCCCCCCACTAATAATAGTGTTATCGTAACACCACAGCCCCCACTAATAATAGTGTAAAGCTAAACACCATTGCCCCCCCCCCCCAACAATAGTAGTGTAAGGCTCAGGGGCTCCCCACCACCTAACCAAATCCATACCCAGAACTTAAGTTAAAGGTCACTGTCTACAAGAGCCTGAAAACATTTTTCAAATATTACGTTCATTTAGTTTGGTATAAAGATAGAAAGCAGACATGCATGTAGGCCTATTCATATCTGTTTCTTTTGGTACAGCTACATGTTTATGGAAATATTACTTCTTCTGTGGAAGCTTAAGTGAGTCTTTTTTGGAACTAAAATTGAGCAGAAAGGTGTCTTTTCAGGAGCTAAAATTGTGCCAGCTTATTGTATCTACTGTTGGAGCTAAAATTGTGACAGCTTATTCTATCTTCTGTTGGAGCTAAAATTGGGCCAGCTTATTGTATCTTCTGTTGGAGCTAAAATTGTGGCAGCTTATTTTTATCTTCTGTGGGAGCTAAAACTTTTCCAGCTTATTGTATCTTCTGTGGAAGATAAAATTGTGCCCATTTATTTTATCTTCTGTGGGAGCTAAAAATGTGCCCGCTTATTGTATCTTCTTTTGGAGCTAAAATTGTGCCAGCTTATTGTATCTTCTTTTGGAGCTAAAACTGTGCCAGCTTATTGTATCGTCTGTTGGAGCTAAAACTGTACAGCTTATTGTATCTTCTGTTGGAGCTAAAATTGTGCCAGCTTATTGTATCTTCTGTTGGAGCTAAAAATGTGCCAGCTTATTGTATCTTCTGTTGGAGCTAAAATTGTGTCAACTGCTTGTATCTTCGGTTGGAGCTAAAACTGTACATCTTATTGTATCTTCTGTTGGAGCTAAAATTGTGGCAGCTTATTGTATTGTCCGTTGGGGCTAAAATTGTGGCAGCTTATTGTATCTTTTGTTGGAGCTAAAATTGTGCCAGCCTAAGTTTGTCTTTTCAGGAGCTTAACTTGGGACAGCTTCTTTTGTATTTAAAACTGACCACGCTAATATGTGCCTTCTGGTAAACAGGTCGAGTTCATTTTTGCGGCCACAAATCTCAGTGGTGAATTCATGTTGAGAATCTCAGTGGTGAATTCATTTTGAGAATCTCAGTGGTGAATTCATGTTGAGAATCTCAGTGGTGAATTCATGTTGAGAATCTCATTGGTGAAGTCATGTTGAGAATCTCAGTGGTAAATTCATGTTGAGGATCTCAGTGGTGAATTCATGTTGAGAATCTCAGTGGTGAATTCATGTTGAGAATCTCAGTGGTGAATTCATGTTGAGAATCTCAGTGGTGAATTCATGTTGAGAATCTCAGTGGTGAATTCATGTTGAGAATCTCAGTGGTGAATTCATGTTGAGAATCTCAGTGGTGAATTCATGTTGAGAATCTCAGTGGTGAATTCATGTTGAGAATCTCAGTGGTGAATTCATGTTAAGAAACCTACCGACTCAGATATCACACGTAGGTGGCGCTCTCTTTAATGACGGTTTTCTCTTTAATGAAGAATTTGTCTCTTTAATGAATAGTTCGTATTTTTTCTTCTAAGAATCATTTTAAAATGTATCCACCCATGCAAGGGGAGGGGGTGTATTTTTTTTTTAAATTTTAATCAATTACTTTTAAAACAAGACATTTTTCATCTAATAGTTTCTTTTCTTGTCCACTCCAATAAAATCAAACTAATTTTTTTCGCAAATTTTATCTTCCAAACATCCTCACCGGTCGTGGCGGAATGCTTCCATGGAATGCGACTAATAATTAAAAATGCTAAACAAGCCCTGTCAACTGACGACAACGCATGCGCAAAGATACAAACATGACGGGAGGGTGTCTGTAGTCTGTGTGGTAAACGGCCTGCCGACAAAATACTGCAGCTCTCAACAAAACCTTGAAAATGAAACGTGTTGACCACGTCTTTGTTACAGCAAGTGGTACGTGGTCACATAAATTTGAGCATCTCAGTAACAGATCGCCAGTGTGCACGAACATTTGTACGTTAAAGTGACACCTATCGGTTTATTACGTGACCTAGATCACAAGAATGTTCCAATAATGCACAAAACATGGACTAAGGCTATGAAGAAAAATCATTTAAAAAAGAACCAATAACATGGCTTTGTGTGGTGTAGGCTGAGAACACATTTCATATAAGAATGTCGCGGTGGCTCTGTATGATATTACACGCTCACCAGTAAACTGACCAGTATAACAGATGACTTGTTACTCCCCAGTGAACTGACCAGTATAAACAGATGAGCTGGTCCTCACTAGCAAACTGACCAGTATAACATATGACGTGGTACTCACTAGTACACTGACCATTATGACACATGACCTGATACTCAGTAGTGAACTGACCAATACTGACAGATTACCTGGTACTCTCTAGAAAACTGACAAATATAAACATACGACTTTACAATAGCAAATTGACCAGGATAAACAAATGACCTGGCGCTCATGAGTAATCTGAGCAGAACAACACGTGACCAGTTTGACCGTGGTCCGTTTGATGCTGCAGTGTTTAGCGAAGTTAGAAGGGTCGAACATTTAAGAAACTGTGTGTTGATCAATAAATGCGAGTAGGACTGTCTATTCTCAAAATTCAATCAACGATTATAGGAGCCAGATATTCAGACACATTGTCCAAGTTCGGCGATGTCTCAAACAAAAACTAAAACCAGTGCGAGCAGACCAGAGAGTAGTTTTTCCTATTAGTTTCGAATTCTCTCTACAATGAACCCAGCGGTCTCACAATGAAACCGTTTACGAACACAGAACACGTTGAAAATTGCTGAGACCATGGGATTCAAAGAGCTCGATAAATATAAGGTGATTGATGGCCTCTCTATTCAAGTCGGTCTCCAACAGGACAAATGTTTCATTATTGAGCTGCGCCATCAGTAGAATGCTCCTATTGTGAGCCAAAGACAAAATGCCAGAGCTGGTGGGAGACTGTAGGGAGACGTAGAGCGTGGACGTAGATTGTTAACATTATTTCATTCTTTAAAAAAAATAAAGTATGGCTGGATCTTCTGCATAAATCCCAATGTGTGGGCCACATAAGGACGTTAACAGAATATGTGGGCCATAGAAAGGCACTCACAGAATATGTGGGCCACATAAGGACGTTAACATAATGTGTGGGCCATAGAAAGGGGCTAACAGAGTGTGTGGGCCACATAAGGACGTTAACAGAATGTGTGGGCCATAGAAAGGCGCTCACAGAATATGTGGGCCACATAAGGACGTTAACAGAGTGTGTGGGCCACTGAAGGGCGTTAAAACAATGTGTTGGACACAGAAGGACGTTAACAGAATGTGTGGAACAACACAATGTGTTAACCACTAGAAGAATACAGCCATTGTTAGATAAGAGTTTATCGGGACTATTGCTTCATGTTAACTCATTACATCTGATTACATTGTCACTCATTACATTCGATTAATTGTCATGAAGAGTTTACATCGCAAATGACATCTGCTGTAAGTATGATTAGCCGTCAGCCAAAAACTAATTGACTTGATGCTATTAACTGATCATTTCAAAGCTATGCAACTTTAATGAGTTCCTAAAGTAGTTAATATATTTTAAAATCACTTTTCTATTTGCTCTACTCCATAATGCACACATAAAACAAGCGATATAACACGTGACTCGATATTTAACACGGTTATGAAGCCAGTAGGTAGTAGGTATACGCCTGTTCTCAAACATAATTGGCACGCTCTCAAATCTGGATACCGCCTGGACAAAACGTCCTCTGCTCGAAATGCATTGGAATAAGCTTACAAAGGGCACTCCAAGTTGGAATAAGTTTACAAAGGGCACTCCAAGTTGGAATAAGTTTACAAAGGGCACTCCAAGTTGGAATAAGTTTACAAAGAGCACTCCAAATTGGAATAAGCTTACAAAGGGCACTCCAAGTTGGAATAAGTTTACAAAGGGCACTCCAAGTTGGAATAAGTTTACAAAGGGCACTCCAAATTGGAATAAGTTTACAAAGGGCACTCCAAGTTGGAATAAGCTTACAAAGGGCACTCCAAATTGGAATAAGTTTACAAAGGGCACTCCAAGTTAGAATAAGCTTACAAAGGGCACTCCAAGTTGGAATAAGTTTACAAAGGGCACTCCAAGTTGGAATAAGCTTACAAAGGGCACTCCAAGTTGGAATAAGTTTACAAAGGGCACTCCAAGTTGGAATAAGCTTACAAAGGGCACTCCAAGTTGGAATAAGCTTACAAAGGGCACTCCAAGTTGGAATAAGCTTACAAAGGGCACTCCAAGTTGGAATAAGCTTACAAAGGGCACTCCAAGTTGGAATAAGCTTACAAAGGGCACTCCAAGTTGGAATAAGCTTACAAAGGGCACTCCAAGTTGGAATAAGCTTACAAAGGGCACTCAAAGTTGGAATAAGCTTACAAAGGGCACTCCAAGTTATTGATGAGCCCACGGTTGGTGATGTGCTTACAGTTGTTTACGGGTCAGCTCAATGACAGCCAACTCTATAACATCGTCTGCTCCCCCACGGTTGTACACACGGTTGTTTACGAGTCAGCTCAATGACAGCCAACTCTGTAACATCGTCTGATCCCCTAGGGTTGTACACACGGTTGTTTACGAGTCAGCTCAATGACAGCCAACTCTATAACATCGTCTGCTCCCTCACGGTTGTACACACGGTTGTTTACGAGTCAGCTCAATGACAGCCAACTCTATAACATCGTCTGCTCCCTCACGGTTGTACACACGGTTGTTTACGAGTCAGCTCAATGACAGCCAACTCTATAACATCGTCTGATCCCCTAGGGTTGTACACACGCTGGCTAGCAAGATGGGGAGACAGTGAGACGTCCTGGCCAACACGCCACCACCAAAAATTCACTGAATGGGGAAATCGATTCTTTGTTGTTTCCGTCTTCAGGCTCAGACATGGAATACGTTGAAAATGTTTTCTTTAGTTGACAACCTTTTTAAATCTCTATTAATTCGATGAGATAATTTAGTCATGCTGATGGCGTTACAACAGTTTAATCGGACAGATGACATCACACTTCTTTAGTCGCCCTGATGACGCCACAACACTTTAGTTATACTGATGTCGTCACAATACGCTAGTCGTACCGATGACGTCACAGCACTTTGGTAAAAACTGATGACGTCAAAACACTTGAGTCAAACTGATGACGTCTGGACGAGACTTCCAGAATGCTAATCAAAACAAGTGCGTGGACACAGTACGTCATCACAAAAAGTGCGTGGACACAGTGCGTCATCACAAGTGCGTGGACACTGCGTCATTCAAACAAGTGCATGGAATCAGTACGTCATTCAAACAAGTGCGTGAACACAGTGCGTCATCCAAACAAGTACGTGAACACAGTGCGCCATCGAAACAAGTGCGTGAACACAGTACGTCATCGAAACAAGTGCGTGGACACAGTGCGTCATCGAAACAAGTGCGTGAACACAGTACGTCAGCGAAACAAGATTCTACAATTGCTCTGTCCCAGTATCAACTGTCTCCCAATGTCTTTGTGATGAACCAGTTGGAAAGTCTTTTCATGACAATCTGCTCAGCCCAATTAACAAAAACAGGAATCGATTAATAAGACAATAATCCGTTTGATTGTCATTAATTTATTCACCACTTGCACCATCGATCAGTATTCTATATGTCCCCCCCCCCCTAACCCGAGCCGACTATTGCCAGGTCAATCGGATCGGATGAATCACGGGACATGTTTGATCGTTGGTTACTTGAAGTGATCAGATCATGTTAAGATCATTTAAAGATCATATTGACTAACCTGACTTTCATCCCGGACAATCTACTCCACACTCATTCATTAGTACGACGCTCCCAAAACCTCAAACAAAAGGTTTAGTTTCCCACTGTAACAGCTGTACGATATGCTCACACAACCTCAAACAAAAGGTTTAGTTTCCCACTGTCACAGTTGTACCATATGCTCACACAACTTCAAACAAAAGGTTTAGTTTCCCACTGTCACAGTTGTACCATATGCTCCCACAACCTCAAACAAAAGGTTTAGTTTCCCACTATCACAGTTGTACGATATGCTCACACAACCTCAAACAAAAGGTTTAGTTTCCCACTGTCACAGTTGTACCATATGCTCCCACAACCTCAAACAAAAGGTTTAGTTTCCCACTGTCACAGTTGTACCATATGCTCCCACAACCTGTTAACACACACCCGGTTTTTGTTTGTCCCCCCCCCCCTTTTTTTTGCCTCCTAGCAACAAATTTGGTCCCAGGCTAAAAATCAATAATGGACACAAAATAAACCTCCTTATGGCGAAGACATTTTAACAGAGCAAACAAGTAGTTAGAGGCTATTACCCTAAGTCTCGGCGTCTAAAAAAACACAGACAACAATGGACACTGGCTGCACTGAATATTGACTAATTCATGGCATCAACTGGATTTGTTATAAAAAATTAAAATAAACCAATCATGGATCTAAAAAATGTCTTCTACTGTAGTAAGAGCTAGATTTCCACCCAATACATTTAACTATAATTGCCCATCTACCGTAATAGCTACATTTTCCTCATACAATTAGAGTACATGGCCCGCCTAAGGATAGAGCTACATTGTCCTACAATTAGAACTACATTGCCCTCCTAAAGTTAGAGCTATATTGTCCTACAATTAGAGAGCTACATTTTCATCCTACAATTAGAGCTACACTGTCCTCCTACAATGAGATCTACATTGACCTCCTACAATGAGATCTACACTGTCCTCCTACAATGAGAGCTACACTGTCTTCCTACAATGAGAGCTACATTGTCATCCTAAAGTTAGAGCTACATTGTCTTATAATGAGAGCTACACTGTCCTCCTACAATGAGAGCTACACTGTCCTCCTACAATGAGAGCTACACTGTCCTCCTACAATGAGAGCAGGGGTGGCCAATCCAACTCTTCGAGGTTCGCATTTTATTAAACCTAATATTTCAAATAACTTCCAAACAAACGATGCGCTTTATTATTTATTGAACCGTATTTCACTACAGCAAGACACTTCTCAGATGTTAACACATCTACTCGTGCAGCATCACACATACATCAAGTGTAGCGATGGAAATCAAGATATAACTAACCACTTTATTATAGATGAAAAGGTGCCCGTTATTGTCACTTTGATTAACGAAGGGTTGGGGGGGGGGGGTGTTAATGCATGGATGCATTTTGGCACATTCCTGAGTTTAGTTTTGCGTCCTTTTACACTTAACAGGAAAACAATAGAATAAATGCTAGCGGATCATTACAATTTAGGTACTCTGTAACTGGATGGGGTTTATTTTTTTTTAATAATAAATGGTAATATTGTTTTAAAATTTGTATTTAAGATTACTTAGTTTTGAATCTTTTTTTTTTTGATATATAATAAAAAGGGGCGGTGCCGGTCAAGCGTATTGGCAATTGGCTGAAGAAATGGATTCATTCCTGATACATCAGGCGGATCAGAATAGATCACGTGGCGGGCCGCATGCAGCCCGCGGGTCGGCCACCCCTGACTAAGAGCTACAAAGCCCTCATTCGGTCAGAGCTAGACTTGAGTTATTTCTATCTGAGCACGGACTGAGTATTGACGTTAAATGTAGTACCGTAGCGTGAGAGCTTGCCGTAAACCATTCATTTCAATCACCGCAATAAAATAACATTGGCAAGTCAGCGCTTGGGGGAATGGGGCAGGGAGGTAAAAGGTGTAACATTGGGGGAATGGGGCAGGGAGGGAAAAGGTGTAAAAAGGGGGGAATGGGGCAAGGAGGGAAAAGGTGTAAAATTGGGGGAATGGACATGGAGGGAAAAGGTGTAAAATGGGGGAATGTGGAAGGGAGGGAAAATGTATAAAATGGGAGAATGGGGCAGGGATGGAAAGGGTGTAAAATTGGGGGAAGGGACAGGGAGGGAAAATGTGTAAAATGGGGGAAAGTGGCAGAGAGGGAAAAGGTGTAAAAAGGGGGGAATGGGGCAAGGAGGGAAAAGGTGTAAAATTGGGGGAATGGGACAGGGAGGAAAAAGGTGTAAAATGGGGGAATGTGGAAGGGAGGGAAAATGTATAAAATGGGAGAATGGGCCAGGGAGGGAAAAGGAGTAAAAGGGGGAATGTGGCAGGGAGGGAAAAGGTGTAAAATGGGGGAAAGTGGCAGGGAGGGAAAAGGTGTAAAAAGGGGGGAATGGGGCAAGGAGGGAAAAGGTGTAAAATTGGGGGAATGGGACAGGGAGGGAAAAGGTGTAAAATGGGGGAATGTGGAAAGGAGGGAAAATGTATAAAATGGGAGAATGGGGCAGGGAGGGAAAAGGAGTAAAAGGGGGAATGTGGCAGGGAGGGAAAAGGCGTAAATGGGGGGAATGGGGCATGGAGGTAAAAGGTGTAACATGGAGGCATGTGGAAGGGAAGGACAAGGGGTAAAATGGGGGAAAGGGGCAGGGACGGAAAGGGTGTGGGGGAAAGGGGCAGGGATGGAAAGGGTGTAAAACGGGGGGGGGGAATGGGGCAGTGAGGGTAAAGGTGTAAAATGGGGGAATAGGGCAGGGGGGAAAGGTTTAAAATGGGGAAATTTGGAAGGGAGTGAAAAGGTTAAAATGGGGGAATGAGGCAGGGGGGGGCGTAAAATGGGGGAAAGGGACAGGGAGGGAGAAGGTGTAAAATGGGGAAATGGGGCAGGAGGGAAAATGCGTAAAATAGGGGAATGGGGCAGGGATGGGAAAAGGTGTAAAATTGGGGGAATGTGGCAGGGAGGGGAAAGGTGTAAAATTTGGGAATGGGACAGGGAGGGAAAAGGTGTAAAATGGGGGAATGGGGCAGGGAGGGAAAAGGTGTAAAATGGGGGAATGTGGAAAGGAGGGAAAATGTATAAAATGGGAGAATGGGGCAGGGAGGGAAAAGGAGTAAAAGGGGGAATGTGGCAGGGATGGAAAAGGCGTAAATGGGGGGAATGTGGCATGGAGGTAAAAGGTGTAACATGGAGGAATGTGGAAGGGAAGGAAAAGGTGTAAAATGGGGGAAAGGGGAGGGAGGTAAAAGGTGTAAAACGGGGGGGGAATGGGGCAGTGAGGGTAAAGGTGTAAAATGGGGGAATAGGGCAGGGGGGAAAGGTTTAAAATGGGGGAATTTGGAAGGGAGTGAAAATGTTAAAATGGGGGAATGAGGCAGGGGGGAGGCGTAAAATGGGGGAAAGGCGTAAAATGGGGGAATGGGACAGGGAGGGAGAATACATGGTTTGTGGGAGTAGGGAGAATACATGGTGGGAAAGGTTTAAAATGGGGGAATTTGGAAGGGAGTGAAAATGTTAAAATGGGGGAATGAGGCAGGGGGGAGGCGTAAAATGGGGGAAAGGCGTAAAATGGGGGAATGGGACAGGGAGGGAGAAGGTGTAAAATGGGGAAATGGGGCAGGAGGGGAAATGCGTAAAATAGGGGAATGGGGCAGGGAGGGAAAAGGTGTAAAATTGGGGGAATGTGGCAGGGAGGGGAAAGGTGTAAAATTTGGGAATGGGACAGGGAGGGAAAAGGTGTAAAATGGGGGAATGGGACAGGGAGGGAAAAGGTGTAAAATGGGGGAATGGGGCAGGGAGGGAGATGGTCCGAAAAAAGCGTGTCTTTATTTATGGCATGGCCCTTTTGTAAGTTGCACGTGTGTGATGTATTTAGTTAACTTTGTTCGGCTACGGCAGTGGTTCCTATAATATTTTTTTTTAATTATCGAAGCCCTTGCCAAATTTTGGTTTTCATCAGGTGCACTATATCGAATTCAAACAAATACACTTCTTTGAGATTTACATCTTTATAAAATAAAGGGTGTCCTCTTTCGAATGGCCCTGCCCTAAATGCAACACTGCAATCCATATCTTGGGAACAAAGAGCAGTGAAAATCCCTGATACCTTTTTTAAAACCCTAACGTCATAATCATGCATCAATAAATTGATTTGTTTGTGGGTTTTTTTTAATAATTTATTTTAATTTCTATTTGTATTTATTGTTACTTTTTTTCTGTTGGTAGGGATATCTAAAATGTACGTACGCAAACGGGGGGGATTCAAAAAAAATAAGCGTGCAGCAGAAGGGAAGGGGGGTAGAAAATAAGACGTTTTTGTCTTAGTTTTTTTATTACTGAGCAATGTAAGCCTCATCCTGCCAAGTTATTACTGCTGATTGGTTAGAATCCAAGACACAATCAAATATTGTGTGTCCCGTGTATCCCACAAGGAGACAGTTTCATGCAGCATTTTGAAGCTAAATGTATTTACCAAAATCAGATGGTGTCAACAAATCAATGGAATCAAATCAAAGTAATTTTTTGTTTTATGACATTTGTGCAATTTAAAAAATTATATGATTAAACAGGCCTACACTATGTTTAAATGGGCCCAGGTGTGTTGTTTCAAGGCAAGGGGAATGAAGCTACTTCCTCCACGGTTCTTCCAGCACAGCCCGTATGAGTTGATTTATTTCAACACATGCTAAGTCTATGCATAGGTAAAACACCAAATACCTGCATTCGGTACAACTAAAACACCAGCATTCTTCGCAGCTAAAATATCAACATTCAGCGCAGCTAGAACACCAAACACCAGCATTCTGTACAGCTAAAACACCAAACACCAGCGATCTGCACAGCTAAAAACCAAACACTTGCTTTCCTCATTCATTCATTCCCCAAGAAAGGTACAACCTAGGAGCAGTTCCCAAATTGATTTCCTACAAGCCTCCAAACTTTGAAACAAACTCAACTTACTTGAGCCAGTCTGAGCCCTTCAAAGCTGCTCTCAACATTTCACATCTGTGTTTGGCTGGCACGAGATCCTGAAACAGAGGAACAGAAATCCATTACAGCACGATGGGGCATTCAGATTACAGAGGAATGTGATCCATAACAGAACGATGGGGCATTCAAAATTACAGAGGAATGTGATCCATTACTGCCCGATGGGGCCTTGAGATTACAGAGAAATGTGATCCATTACAGCACAATGGGGTCTTCAGATTACAGAGGAATGTGATCCATTACAGCACGATGGGGCATTCAGATTACAGAGGAATGTGCAAAAAAATCAGAGGGTGGACTATGATAAAGCTATAAGTAATTCTCTGATGACATCATGAGTTTAAACTTTTGGCCAAGTGAAAAAAAAAAATTGAAATATAAAAAACGAAGTACATGGCCATAACACATGACAGACATTGGAATAAGCCCTATAAAAATAACACTATTGGAGAATCTATGAAATAATTAACCTTCAGTAAAACAAAAGTTATTTAATGGCAGACACAGTAACGAATGGACAGTAGCCAGTAGCAGGGCAGCTTTAAGACTAAAAATTGAGTAAGCACATCCATCTCTGAGGGGAAAAAAGAAAACTGTATTCCTTGTTATTTAAGTCCAGAAGTCATGTAAGCAAGTGAAAAGTGGACACTCAACAAGAAAACAAACAAAAAACTGGGCATTCCCCTTTATGCTCAGATCAACTCCGCTTGTGAATCAACATTGCCAACATGGGTGTCATCAAGCCAAAATACATATTTCGAAGTTATTGTTGGTGGGAATATTTAGAGGCAGTGACGAGCTGTGCCTTGAATAAAGATTGAAATAATGGAACCAAAAGTTGTGCAGCTTGTTCAAGAAAAGGAATGTCAACGTTTACATCTTAAGTTGGTTTAAAATATGCTTATATCTTCATTTAATGTTATATCAATAGTAGTGTTTAATGATTTATATATTTTTCATTCACCATAACTGTGATTATTTCAGGGGTAAAAGGTTGCCCACCAAGGTCTAGGATGCTACATAATGACACTTCACAACTTTCAGTCTCAAAGTACCTTGACTCAAAGTAAATTAACGCTCAACAATGTTCTCTTGTCATGACGTTCATTTCGGTGCACCAATAAAAACTTACATTGAATGTTCATTACCAACCTGACGTGACACTTTTTCATTTGTAGAGCTCATAAAAGACAAAAGTGGGCCAACCTGAGGTCGAACAAAAAAATTGACCTAGCAAATTCTGATTCTAGGATACAGAACATCTGTGGAAAGTTTTGTCAAACATTGAGGTCTATATATAGACTGCCATGAGTCACCTGTACTCTGTACCGACTTCTGAACTTTGTAGAAGTCTCATTTAATTTAAAAAATAAATGCCTAATGGCTGGACTGCCCTGATTTAGCTGGACTGCCCTGATTTAACTGAGCTGATTTAGCTTGACACCCTGATTTGCTGGTTAATTGTTGGAGCTATGAAACAAGGATTAAAGCCTACTTGAAAAGTTGAACTGTCTATAAACAAAAAGACTAACAATGAGTTTTAGATGTTTCTATGTTTTAAGTACTCGTTACTTGAGATCATGTTTGTCAAGTTTTCCCTTGTGAAATAAAATATTTCGACAACAATCGACCGTTAGGACTTGAGCCTAAACACTAATCACAGCACCATCAACTGGGATAAAAAGATGGGCCACAGACTTATATTTAACAATTAGGGAAATGTATTTTTCTCAGAAATATGGAGAACAATGATTTCATACCAGTATTACAGTTAATGAATTCCACCACTGAGCTATTTTATGGGAAATACTCGGGCTTATCTCATTGTGTGCTACATCAGCTTGTAAAGGTCACCAAAGTTCAAACCCTTTTTTTATTTTCTTCTACAATGTTGCCATTTGCTAGTGCAAGAAATAGTATTGTAATCCAAAAAGTTCACTTTAGTATACCTAAAACCCAACAGACTTTCTGTGCATAAGAATTTTGAATTCTTAAATAGTTTAATCAATTTCTTTTAATGTCAAGTCAACTCCTCCCACCCATTCACCAATCAACTTCTTCCATCCATTCACTAATCAGCTCCTTCCACCCATTCACCAATCAGCTCCTTCCATCCATTCACCAATCATCTCCTTACATCTATTCACCTTATAACATTTCCTGGTTACTAAACAAACTTCATGATTCAGCCAATGTCTAATCTCCAACATTGTTCCTTGTACTTGACCACATTCTTTCTCATGTCAAGCCTACTTATTTTTTTATTTTATCTGACAAAATTATTTTTTAATTATCATACAGAAAAGTTTAAGCAGATAGTTAAAATTATAATTTGAGATTGTTTTGTGTTAGAATAAATAAATCAAGGTACAGACAAATATTAACAGATACCTCTGTGTTAGAACTGTCTACCACTTTTTTTATCTAGACATGTCAACATATCTTTGCCCCCTCATTTCAACAACTCTAATCTAAAGTGTCACAGTTTCACATAGCCATCTCACACAACTCAAACATAATCATCATAAAAAATAAAAGAAGTTAGTTGGCTGGGAAAAAACACAATTTAAATTACAACAATTCAAAATTCAGAGCTGTAGATCATTATTTTAATATGAGTAATTTCATATCAGACCACTGTAAAACAATCAGGGCCATATATATTATGTAAATTAAATTTATGCTTATTTGAATGTTTATGTTTTTTTGCTGTACTGATGAAGGCATTTGCTTAAGCATTTACATTTGTATTCTGTATGATCATTATTAAAGTTGAAACTTTATTGTTTTATTGACAAAAATTTTTTGTGTCTCATTTATCTACTTGAAAGCTTTATTGCAGTCAAACACTCTTATAATTAGTTATGTAAAACAGAGTATGTGAAAGGAGGTTCCAAAACCTAATTGATTTTATTAGCTTATTTCCTTTTTACTTTAATTAATAAGCTTTAAATGCCTCAGCTTTTCTCAGAAGATATGTTTCAGTTTTTTTCAGATGCACTTTGTACTCCTTTGAGCTTAGTGGATGACCGAATTTTGGTTTCGGTGCCAAACGTTGCCATTTGAACACTTTCGGCGTACTTTCCATTTTGGGTGAAATAGAAAAGTTAACATTAGGTTTATTTTCGGTTTCGTCTGAAAGTGATTGAGGCTTTTGGCCATCCATCAGAAGTCAGACTGTCACTCTGTCTGTCAGCAATCTGATATTGATTATTGCTCGACGTCTTTATGTCATCATACAATACATGACAAATAATCTGGAACACTGCTCACAGCTGCATAATGATCTACTTGTCCAATATTTCCAAAAATAAAATTACAATTAGGCGTACGCAAAGAAAATATCTAAAAAAGACTCAGCATTAGCTTGGCATACTCAACAAACTGACAAGACCGATACCTATAACATTAAACCACTCAAAAATAAAACCAAGGTTCAGGGTGAATATTCAAGGGAATTCAAAGGATGAATATGGATGGACCATGTGTACTCTATATTCAAGAATATGTCTGTTAAACCAGATATTAACATATATAAATCAAGAGAGAAAGAAAATAAGCCCACATACTTTTTTCTTGTAGGCATCACTGACTGGTGACATAAAGCCAGAAATAACTTGATACCTTCCAGTTTTGTTCAAAGCATCTTTAGCTAATTCTGAGGATAGAAATAAATGTCATTTAATAAACAATGTTTTCACACATCATTAATTTATAGATTTATTTATTCAAATGTCTTTTAAAATCTCTTACAATCACAATTGGTTAACAGAAATTTGTTGAAAAGGGAAATTTTTCAAACGGAAATTTGTTTGAATTTTTGTTGATGTTGTTGTGAAGTCTTTTTCGAACTGAAGTATTCGAATGGAAATTTGTTTATACCCAACTCTTTCAATTTAAAAAAAATGTATTTTGAAGTGTATTTGTTAGAATTCAACTTGACATAAGACAACAGGTTAAAACTAGGGATTCTCAAGTGATTTTTTAACAAACTAAAGACTTCCCAGGAAATACTCCCATTCTGGACTATTTTGGGTACAAAATTTTAGAATACATTTTTTAATGTTTATTGGTACATTTTAGACAGTGACAGATTGTAACACATTGTCACTAGTTATAACTATAAGTAAGCCAGGAGAAGTAAAATCTAGTTAAGTGCTGTGCACTGAATTGTTAAACTGAGTTGCTTAGTACACAGGTTCTCAGGCATTATCAAGTGACGACCACGCAAAGTGGCCCCTACAGTGCAACTTACCAGATTCAAAAAATATAATTATATTTATGTACCGGTAAATGAAAACATAAAAACTGTTATGGCATGAACATCTAAATAATAGGCCTATCCTATAATGCCTATATTTATATTATATACTATTCTAGACATTGGTAGATAAATAATAATAGTAATAGTACAGTAATCATACTAATAATAATAGCCGCATGAATATGCTAGTAATGCTAATATTCTATATTACATTAAGTGCAATATGCGACTTAAATATGCATTTTGCCCATGCATATGTCATATGTGTAAGAGTCCCCTATGACATATGATGTTCAAATTGTTACTTTCAGTTTAATATTATTAGCCTAAAGTTAAAGCCCACTAAGAGACTATGGCGTAAATTGTATATTTTATTCAAATAATTATAATTAATAAGGCATTTATTTTTTTATGATTACATTAAATTCATTAATTATCATTCATTAATCAATGTCAATAATCATTTTGATTGTTAATTTATTCACTTCACTGTTTTGTTTATTTTGTTGATACAATAATTATAATTATATAATAGAAGTGCCTAACATAACAGTTTTAATAATAACAATGATATAATTATTACAAGAATAAATATAAAGTATTACCAAACATGCGTAAATGCATATTTGTCACAGGATTGTATGATCCACATCCCAATAATACTATTTTCGTTGGCGAAGCCATCGTACATCCCTTCCAAACTAGCATTTTGCTCATGTTATTCTGTTAAATAGAAAGTGTTGACATGCCAGTTAACATTAAAATCTCTGAACCCAAGACACCAAATCAATTACAAAAGTAACGTTGAAAAATAATTAATGTATTTTGAAAAAATAGAATTTATATTTAATTATTTTATTATATTGAGGAAAACTGTTAAAATTAAAATAATAATAAGCCTAACAATTTATAAGTAAAACGTGCGTCACCCTTGTAATTTCCAATGACTATGACAGAAATCGATATTTAAAAAATAAAGCACTTGCTAGGAAAACATTCGACTTCGACAGTGAAGATCTTATTTTAATTAGCATTAATTTTTTATTGTTGAGATTATTTAATTTAAGAGAAATTAATTTAACGTTTTTACATAAAATATAAAATTGCTAGCTGAAATTTAACACTATGACTTACAATGACTTTCATTAACCCATTTAATACGTTTCGCCGCAGTGTGCGTCACCGCGATTTCGGCAGAGTACGTTTAGCCACTCTCTGCGTCACCACTGGTTTGTTTCATTTTATTAGTATTCCAACTTTTCCATTCAACTATTTTATAATATAGCTTATCAATTTTTTATTCAGAAGAGTTCCACTTCCTTTGTGTTGAATTTTAAACCGAATAACCCACGTTTAGTGTATTTTGTGCTCGTTTTTTCCACTTAAAAATTTGTAAACAAAACACAGCTGATTGAAATGGCTGCATCGAATAACAGTGCTAGTTCTAATCGACAAGGATTTCGATCTATGACTGCCGATGAGGCAAGTAAATTGATTTGCTTAGACGATTCAAGTTCAAATGAAGATAAATCTGACAACAGTGATAGTGATAGTGATTACGAAAATGTATTATTTGAGGAAACTAGTGATGAGGAATATATTCCGACTACAAAGAGACAAAAAGTATCCATTGGAAAAGGAAAAGGAAAAAAAAAATCAACACCAACTAGGCCTAGTTCAAGTTCTACTAATTCTGTGGCTTCAACTTCAAAGCATAATTCATCTTCATCTAAAACTAGTCAATCTACTAGTTCAAATTATTTCCCTACTGAGACAGAGTGGTCCGAAGTCCAAACAGGACAAACTGAAAACAATTTCCGATTTCATCCCCTTAGAAATCCTGGAGTTTGCCCTAAACTTCAAAACATTTTAAACCCTACACCTATTAACTTTTTCAATGAACTATTTGATGATAATGTTAAAGATTACATTGTTGAATCTATAAATGCCTATGCTAAAAAGAAAGTTCACATGAACACACCTGCACTTAGACGCTCTGTCTTTAGTCGATGGGTGGACATATCAAGGCAGGAGCTAGACAAATTTATTGCTGTTCTAATCTACATGGGGATGTATAAAAGGCCAGCTATTTCTGATTATTGGTCTATGTCTGCTGAATCCTATACTCCATGGATACACCATGTATTTAGCAGACAGAGATTTCAGGACATCTATCACTCCATGCTACACTGTGGCGATGAAAATTCCGAAGGGAAAGATAAAATTGAACCATTTATGAACATACTCTTGAATAAGTTTAGAAATGCATTCTACCCTTTTCAGGAACTTAGCATAGATGAAATGGTAATAGGCTTCNTTAACACGTGTCTTGGGAAAGAAATTCATAACTTTACAATTTCTGGAGCTACTGCAATGAAACTTTCCAGTTGTTTTGGATGTATCACAAGACTCATTTAAAAAAAATATGAACTTGATTGGATTATTGTTATCTGATTTCTGAGCTGGTGAGTAAAGCAAAACCAAATAAATTTTAAATAATTTTTTACATAAACCTGCAATAATACCCCCAAAAATTTTCTTTGGGTATTTCTTTATCACTTTTTTATACTAGAAACATATTCCTTTTTCAATTACCTACATTTGGATATGCAGCATGATATAATTTTGATAAATAACAAAACAGAGCTTTTCAGTTTAAAATCATCAGGTCAAATAGAATTTTTGTCCCAAAATTTTACTGCGTTCCCTTAAAAAAATTGTGACGTATTGAATGGGTTAATTAATAAATTGGTGTATATCTAGTACCGAAAAATAATCAAATTGTATTTTGTACAGTAATTTATTTTGGCTGATTGACAATTCACATCTAGATTTTAGGCCGAATTATTTTTAGTTTTATTGATGGGTGGTTAAATTGATATTTGATTGAGACATTATTAAAATAGTGTCTATTTTAAATAAATTTGTAAGTAACCCATTTTCGGTTTCATTGAAAGTCATTTGGCAGTAGGGGTCTATAAATGATATTTTTAATAAAACTTATAGTCTGGCAGTTAATTCTATATTTTCAATATAAGAGTTTTCTCTACGTTTTAACATTTGATCCAAGAAATCTGTTAAATGTATTGAAAGAATTCTTGGAAACGAAATCGTTAAAATGTAGAATCGATTCATGTAATTTTAATCTGAAATAAAATTATTTTCTGGCAACTTGGCACTTCAATTTAACTTTCAGTTTCATCGTCGATTAACTTTTTCTAAGAACTTTTTCGCAAAAAATTTGATGACCATTGTTGTAAAGCAAGGGTCCTCAAACTATTTTTTGGTGTACGCATTTTAAATAAACCTTTATTCAGAACGGTGCACTTTCATGTATTAACTATTAGAATTTGTTCAGTGTCCTTTTAAAGATACGTGAAAAAAACATATATTAAATTTACTTATTTAAAGATGTGTGTGTATGAGTATGGCATGGCGCATTTTCGGGAGTTCGCCCATGGCAAAATTTAGTCGAGGTACGCCACTGTTAGTGTTAGGTTTTGTTTTGTGCATTTTCTCAAATATACAGACTCATCAAGTAAGCTAGAAATATCACCCAAACTAAACACCATTCACTTGAAGAACTATTTGAAGAAAAAAAAATATTGTAATACTAAACAAATTCTGGATGATAGCTTACATCCCAGCCACTTAGGATCGCCCGGTCGGCCCGTTCGGGACGAATTCTTTCTCTCAAGGCGAGGACTGAAAAAAATATGTGTTTGTTCCCCAATCCGTATGAATATACCAGCATGCTCCCCCAGAAGTCACAAAATCTAAATGATCATTTATTAAGTGCCTGTTATGACTAATGGAGTTCACTGAAAAGCTTTTTTTTTTACACTAGAGAAATAATTTAATGTAGATCGATATGTCTTGTGTTTAAATTGTTTTAGTTGGATAATGTTGACTTTATTAAAATATGTATTTATTTATTTGCTGAAAATGTATATGTACAATGTTAATAAAAACATTTACATTTTTTTGGATCTATAAAAGAATCTTATTGTATATCTTATATGTTTTGCTTGTGGTGTGACTGCTTCCATTTTCGGATAGCGCGCAAAATATATTTCCCGATAACTACGCTATTTTTTTTTTTAATAACGAAACTAAATATATAAATATATATTGGTTTGTTTTCATTCAGCTATTTTTAATTAAATAAATGTATGTATTTTCTAAATATCATGAATATGTTTGTTAATATTTTTATGCGCAGCGCGGTACATCCAAAATTTGGGATTCTTAAATGTGCGTTACAAATTATAGGCCTATTTATATTTTGCTTGTTGTGCGTCCGCTTCCATTTCCGGATAGCGCGCAAAATATAATCTTTAGCTGAAAAAGTTATTTCAAATTTGTTGAGAGTGGGATTTGAACATTAGATTTTTTGGAATTATCACATTGTTCAGGGGCGTGGATAAAGGATGCTTTGGGCAGGGTTAGGTAATTTGGACAGTTGCCCGGGGCGCCATGTGCTTAGGGTGACATCAGCGTTCTTTCAAAATAGGAAAAAAAAATCATTGCATGTGGGCACCATGGAAGAAAAATAAAAAGTGCAATAATAAAGGCTCGAAAAAAAATGTCATCAGTAGGCTAATGGTTCATATTGACCACGATAGGCTAATTGTTCAGAGCTCCCACTGTAGGCTAATTTTTCATACTGCCCACGGTAAGTTACTTGATTATATAATATACATTTTCGACCCAACTTCGCACACAGCTAAGTGGCCTGGCTAGACTGAGTCGGGATATTCCACTATGTTGTAAAATATTGATGGAGTAGACTGAATGAGGCTTCAGGACCAAAAAAAAATGTTTATTGTTGACACCACAGTTTCCGTGATACAAGATAATCCAGTAATTCCCTCATATCGCATGTTGATGAATAATGCAAAAAAGAACCATAGGCTTGGAAAAGTCACCCCTTTAAAGAGTCTTGTCAATTCATCCAACTTAGCATTTTCCTTCACTGTACATGTTTTACCATCATCTTCTGTGAGGCGATTTAGGTTTGCCCAATCCATATTTTACTGATCAGTTGATTAATTAACCTTATTAACCCTGTCTGCTAGTTTTACTTTGAGTTAAATGGATCTCGTTATTGTCTAGGGCAAGGGTCTCCAAACTACGGCCCGTGGGCAGCATGCGGCCGAATTAAAATAGAGGCGCGCAGTAGTGCGTTATGTTTTCCAAACGATCACAACATTGCAAAACCGTATTCGCTGCTTAATTTTTTTACTTCCGTTCACAGTCAATGAGATTATAACAACCATCTAGTTGTAGCAGAATTTTTAATTGGTTTACTGCTTGTTCAAGACTTGATTATTTTGATAACAGTTTTCCCACACACGGTCGACTGCTTCTACGAGGAGGTGTTAGTGACAGCGTCTGATTGCGAAATCTGTTGCACTCTATTTTATTTAGTGATAATTTCCTTCGCGTAATTACTTAGTGTGTTTACGAGGATCTTTGCCCAGAAAAGTCCAAACAATTTGAAAATGTAGCTTTGTGTGCAAACACCATTGCCTGCCGTGTTGCAGACATGAGTGAAAACATTGTCTCTTAAATTGAGAAAAATTAAAGCCAACTTCCCCATTTTCTAATTGCAATGGATGAATCGCTGGGCAGCTGTTCCACCGTTCAACTGCTTATGTTCATCATAGGAGGTGTGGATGAAGACATGAACATAACACAAGAGCTGGCTTCCTTATATAGCATGTACGGCACTGTTACTTGGAGAGGATATATTCACTGAGTTGGAAACAAATTTGCTGATTATAACTTGGACTGGACTAACCCCAGTTGCCTAACTGTTGATGGAGGAAAGAACATGAGTGGCATAAAGAAAGGCTTGGTTGGACAGGTGAAGCAGATTTGTAATGAGAAAAACATTCTAAAACCAATTTTCCTGCACTGTATTATTCACCACCAAGCTTTCTGTGCTAAATAATTTGTGGACATTAGTAGTGTACTGAATCCTGTGGTGAAGATGGTGAATTTAATAAGGTCACATGGGCTCAATCATAGACAGTTCAGAGACCTGTTGGAAGATACAGACACAGAAGCGCAAGATTTATCATATTATACAGCAGTAAGATTGCTAAGTTGTGAGAAAGTTCTGAGCAGAGTATTTAAGCTAAGAAAGGAATTAGATGACTTCCTGGAAAGTAAAGGCAAGCCACAGCGATGACTGTCTGATGCAGAGGGGGTATGGAAATTGACCTTTGCTGCAGACATAACTAGTCATTTAAATTTGCTGAACCTAAAACTACAAGGAGAGGAAAATATAGTTTCAGATCTATACACTCACCTAAATGCCTCCAGATCCAAACTCGTCTTGTTTTTGGAACAAGTAAGGTCAACAACTTGACACACTTTCAGCAGTCCAAGGTCTTCATGGCTGAAGCAACAGCGGAGTTCCCCCACGTCATTTGCATGCGAGATCCTCAAAGATCTCCAACTGCAGTTTAAGCAGCGGTTTTCTGACTTGGATTCAAAGGCAGAAGAAGTGAGATTGTTTCAAAACCCATTTGAAGCAGATGTGACAAGTTGCCCAGACGAACTGCAGCTGGAGGTCAATGATTTGCAGTGCAAATGACCTCTTTAGAAACAAATTCAAAGATGGACTGGTGGATTTTTACCAAAGACTTTCCTAAAGTCAAAACTTTTGCATCAAGGTAACTTTCAATCTTTGTAACAACATATATGTGTGAACAAACATTTTCAAGAATGAAATACGTGAAGAACAATTTGAGAACAAACTTGTTCGATGATAATCTCAGGTCATTGTTAATGTTAGGGACATCAATTCTAAAGCCATAAAAGTCTGCTATTTCGGCATCCAGGAAACTATTTCACCAATCCGACTAATACAGGTGTTAGTGTGTAGAGTATCAATATGTTATTAAATAATAACTGAATAAAATATTATTACATAAATAATTAAAAACAACATTCATGTTTTGATTCTTTTTTATTGGGACCTCGAGTGTAGTCGGCCCCGAACTGCTGTTTGATAGTTAATGCGGCCCTCAGACTGAAAAGTTTGGAGACCCCTGGTATAGAATAATAACTCCCGAGTAGATTTTGGCCACCCCAAGGGAGTTAAGGGGTAAATTTTTTGTATAACAATGGTTGACAGGTTGAAAACTTATTGTGTCCCTTGAACTTTGGCATACAAATTAATTTAATTAATTATTTTTTGTTCAATCAAAAGCATTAGAGCTGGAAAATGGTGATAAAATAAGGACAAATTGGCAAATTATTATTTTTGAAAACGTTAAGTAAATAATGGAGGGAATGTATTTATTTCTAGAATTTCGATTTCCTGCGTCCTTGCCAAAAATAAATAAAACACGCATGTACTCATGTACGTCACCTATCGTCATCTGGAAACTGCGAACAGTTATTGGTACTCAGACTCAAGTGAGTTACTATTGTCACATGTGATATTTCGTGGTGAAACTATGAGGCGTCCACAGCAACCTAGGACAGGGCCGCGCGAGAAAAACTGGCGAGAACCCGTGACTGAGATGTCATAATTGTCTACGAATAAAGTGCAGTCGAAATCTCATTGAACCTGCGCATTAAAAAAAAATGGGGGGGGGGGGGTTTGGCAAAAAAGAATGGGGGGGGGGAA